TACATGTAAATACTTTTAAAAAATCACCTCAGAAATAGTCAATGATTATTGTATCCTTCTTTGATTTCTGTTGAATTTCCGGAAAAGAATTAAAGGAGAGCCAGTAAAGCATTTTGTGTGTGTGTGTGTGTGTGTGTGTGTGTGTGTGTGTGTGTGTGTGTGTGTGTTTTCTCTCCACCCTCTTTTTAGAGTCCACAGGGTCACAACATAAGGACATAAAATATGTGTAATAGCAAATATTATATAGTACTTTCATATTTAATTTTGTGTCTTTCCAAGTGTTTAGCTATTCACATGCTCAAAAGTTCTGGGCTCTTACATTCAGCACACACAGCAGCCCCATGAGGAAAGGTATATAGTCAGGTGTATTTGGAGATAAAGTGCTGTTACCTGTTGGGAATTTCTGTTATTAACCCCAAGTTGTAGTTGATAATGCACTTAGAAGGCGTTGAGACTCAGCAGGCTGATTTAGAAGTCCTTGCTTTCAGCTTTTCACATGTCAACAATATGAGAATAGCATCAAGGAATAAGTGATCTTATTCATTTCCACTCGGAGAACCCCAAATTTCATACTCTATTTTCTTGTCACCTACCAAGTGAGTGGTTCATACATTTGACAGGTGAAAATACTAACTGCTACTAAGAAAGAAGTGCCCATAGATCATTTAATTTTTCATTGTTTATTCTCCATATTGGAATTCACAGGTCCTTACATATATATAATTTTGATCAGGTGATAATAAGTTATAAAACTTTACATAACAGTCAACTACAGAAATATTATGGTCAAATTTTTAAGTCATTGATTTGGCATTTATTGATTCTGATTTATTTAGTTCTTCTTAATTGCAAATTGAAGATTCCATTTTGGTATTTTGCTTCTAATTCTTGAATTTTGTTGCAGCCACAGAGAGCCATAGGAATAAATTTTTTTATATTATATTTTAAATTATTTGTTTTATTGATGCAGTTCATTTTTTTCTCTTCTTGGTAAGGAATACAGCTTTGACAGTAATAATTCAACAACAATAAAAATCTATACTTAAAATATAATTTTGTTAATACTATTGTTATTGATATTAATATTATACACTCTTAATACTTTCTAAGAATTTTTAATGTAAGTTTAATCCTTAGTGATTTAAAGGTAAAAATATAAAAGAACCATCATCTTTATTTTACTCAGACTTCTGAATTAACTCTAAATCTTTCCCTATTAACCTTCCTATATTAGTACACAAAGTGATAATAGAGTCTGGTAGCACAAATTCAGGTGGGGCTGTCCCATTGACATAAAATACATTTGAAAAAGAAATACAGAGAAGCTAGGGATTCAGTCCTAGCTAATCAGCTGATTAAACATTTTCCATGGTACTGTGGTATAAATATTAAAATACAAATAGTTTCCTCACCCATTTTTTTATCACAGTCACTCAAAAAAAATTGAAGGAAAGGAGAGTTTTTATTTCTTTGCTGAAGTTAGTCTTTTTTCGTTAGTCAGGAGAGCAATAATTGTATTTTAAAACTGGAAATGTCAGGATGGCAACAACCCTTTGGCTCCTTGAAGCAAACATGTCATTTAACAATCCCAAAAGCCATCCAGAGGAGTGGTACATTCCTAAGTGTACTGACCTCCAAGTGGACGGGATTGGAGTTGGGCCGAGTCCTTCCTATTCCATTATTTACTGTGACTTATCAGTGATCAGATCTTTGGATGTGAGGACTAAACCCTCAAACATATTTCTCCTAACTCCATCTCTCTTCACACTTACCCTTACCCAGCATAAAACTTAAGTAGTACTGTCTAAAGATATGTAGGAAACTATAATAGAAGGGGATATTTTTAACTCTTTAAGTAATTTATTACCTTTACAGCTTTAGTTTCCAAGTAGAATTTCTCTCAAAAGCATATGTCCAAAATAATTATCTGCATAGTTCAATAACTTCTAAAGAAAGAGAAAGAATATCTTGGAATTAACTAGATTTACTCATGTCTCTGTCTATACATCATCTATCTATACTGATACTGTGACTTACTTAGTACATAATTTGGTTAGGTTATAAGTTAATGCTTTGATTAAGGAACCTAACTTGAAAATTCACATTGAGCTAAGTGTTTATAAAGTTATAATTTAATAGCTTTTTATATGGCATGTGTTTTTTTTCAAATATATATGTAGTTGTTGTCAAGTGACAGAGGCAAGTAAATATTCTCAATATCACTTTTGGGTAAATTTTACAGTACTATTAAAATAAAATTTTAAGTATCATGGAGAATAAAATAAAAAAAAAAACTTTCCCAAAGAAAAGCTTTTTAAAACAGGGTTGTCTTTAGAGTTTATATATATCTATATCTATATATATTTTACTTCACTTTCAATAAATTAACATAAATTAAAAGATAACCCATAAGTATCTGTTAATTTCCACCAAGAACATTTTAAAGCTGAGTATCCATAATACCATAAAAACTTAAGATAATTACAATGAAATTAGTCATACAGCCTATAATGTGACTACTGTTTATCAATGACAGAAAATAAAAATGAAAATTATTTAATGTTATAAGCCTTTATATATAAATATGCTTTAAAATGCAAGTAAGGAAATCAAACATTTATAGCTTTTCTGTGGTGAGAACAGCATTGTCACCTGTTAATTCGGATTTGCAGAGAGATAATAATCCTAAATTCTCTAAACTAATGTAAGACCTGCCCCCCCCCACAAATGCTGAAACTTGCTGACATAGGCTGTCTAAAGTGATCTGTAGTTTAAAATCATTGCATGTTTATAATGTTCTGCTGTAGGTGTAACTCTCAAATGTTTCATTTTGTCTGTAAGTATGAATTTTTATGTTAAATTTAAGCTTAGAATTCTAAAAGATAAAAAAATACATGTTAGTTATTACACAAGTTAAACCACTGCAAAAATATATCAAAATCCAGTGGTTTAATTCATTTTCCCTGGGAGTCTAGGGGCAGGTGGCCTAAATCTCATGCATCAACTCAGCATTACTAAGAAGATTTTACTTCTGTATCTGAGGCTCTATTGTGTCTTTCTCCTAGTCAAAGGGAAGAACAAAAAGTAGAGGAAGCCCCAATCCAACCCCTTAATTAGTGAGGCCTAGAAATGTCACACTCACTTCTGTCCACATCCCAGTGAACATTGCTCAACACACATCTGCAGGAGCTGAGAGAAACTGGTTTTAGCAGATTCTGCTTGGTGAAGCAGCTGATGTTCCTCACACTGCTGAAGAAATTGCTGAATCCCTCTTTGATTACTCTCTTGTGACATTTCATACACAAAATAATATTTGACACATCAGTAGTCCTACTGCAAGCTGGCTATTTTAATTATTAAAGTATTTGTAAACCTTGATACGATATTGTAAGGCATTTCTGCCTGTGACTCTATATGCGAACCACTGTATCTATCTGCTTGATATTTTTCTTGACTACTTACAGTAGAATATAATTCCAATCCTCTATCCATCTCATGGATAGAATATACTGATGCAACGGGCATGAATATAACTGTAAACATTACCATTTTGTTTTATAACATATAATAAATACATGATTTTCTTCCTGGGTACATTATAGCAAGCAAACAATTGCTAGACATTCTTCTGTCTTCACATTTTATGGCATAATTCTAACAACTCTTGCAATTATATTTATTGGCTTAAATGTTCTTAAACTGTCCAGATTCAGCATTATCCAATAGAACTTTTCTGTGATGGTGGTATTTTCTAGAACTGTATCATCTAGATTCATATTTACCACCTGTGTGAGGTTTTGGATCATTTGCATTATGACTGGTGTGCCTTAGAAATAGAAGTATAAACGCTGTTCTGTTTTGATAAATTTAAACTGCCGGTTGTGATTAGCACTCACCACATGGAGTACATAATTCCATTCACTCCCTGCTCCATCTTCTGATTTATTTCAGTCACATTTCTTTCCCCGCATCATACTACTTCCTAAATATCTTATCAGGCATTTAACCACTCAATATTTATATATTGAGTATTTTCTCCTTTGGGTAAGAAGCTTTATATTAATCTTATTTTTTCAGTTTAAGGTTAGCTTTAGACATTCTATAATATTAAAAATATTTTATTGCTCAGATAAAAACTCGGTTTTTTATAAGAATAATATAGATAATACTTATATTCTAATTTTGACCACTTTATAGATGCATAAACTGACAAAACCACAAGTTAATTAGCTTCTGCTTACCATCAAATATGTAGTAAATGATTGAGCTGGGATGTATGCAAACCTGAGGCAAGGAGGCTTCACATACCAGACTCTTATTCCATCTCATTTCAATATTTACTGTCTCATCATTCTGGAGAGTGAGTTTTTATCAGTGGTTCTCTTTATTCAAAATTCATCACAGATGGGCCTTTCTGAGAACATTATTTGTGTATTCATAATGCAGGAAAATATATTGCTTCTGGCAAGAAGAAAGAAAAAAAAAGCTGTAATGATCAGATTTAACTCAGGTTAATCATAACCTCTATGTTAAAATTACTTAGAGGCATATTGTCCATAATTAAGTCATCTTATCCACTAATATTACAGAATAAGGGATACCTTTAAGTGACATGACATCTATCATTTTAAGCATGCCCCCAAGCCTTTTTTCAGATTGCTCATAAAATTTCTCATTCTCTGGAGAAATGTGATCTCTAAGAAATAAATGTCTCTGTCAAGTCACAAGTAATGTGAGCACATGATGAAAAAATGGAATTGCTGAGTCTCATATGGGATATTGCAGTATTGTAAAATTGATTTTCTTCCCTGGTATTTAAGTTCTCATGGTCATTTTCGGATTTACCTCCTGGATATAAAGGGAAGGTTATGATACCTTTTAGGGAGGCGGGGAATAAAGGCCTTTGGTGAAGAAAGTAGGAGGATATTTTTTCACATGAAATTCTTTATCATAAAATGCTAATGTTGGTGTTCTTGTCTTTATGTCTATGCATTCTTTAGCTATGAGGATAACAGACCCTTCATCAAGTAAGAATGACCTGAATGGCTGATAAATTGCATTTATCAGTGTGGTCCCATGAACCAGCTGTCAGATCAGTACTGAGAGATCTCTAGAGCTTCTGTCATTCACATTGAGGCAGAAGAGCAAACTGTGCAGGAAACACTGGCATACAACTTACATGCAGAGTCCTGCAGGTGTATTGCCAGAAAGGAAAAAGAATTCTATGTCACCTCTGTTAATGGGATATCACTTGAGTTCAGTGCCGCAGTAACAGCACTTTTCTGTGGTACAGACTTGTCTCTCTCTCTCTCCTGGAGAGCTCCTCAAACTGGGATGTGTTCTTCCTTGCTGCGCATGTCCAAATTTCTGTTGTGCATTCAGGTGTCATTCATCTTAAATTGTTTTCTGACTTAGTAGGGAATCTTTAAAATGATTTCATGCATAAGAAACTACCCAGTTGCAATTAGCATTAATGATTTCCTGTATTAACTATATCTATAAAAGTGGGGAAAGGCCCTTTAAATTTTACATATGTAAACTTTTCACTTTGAAATTGGGCACCTGTATCATGATGGATAATTGAATTGCTTATGAATACATTGAAATTTCTGAAACAAATTTACAAGTCTGGACCAGTCTAACAAATGGAGAGATAATGGTAACAATTGGGTATTTGCCTAAATTTCAAAATTTACGTGTCCTGCAAGAATCATCTCCCGATTGGCCACCTGTGGCCTACCTTGCTGTAGACGTTCAGTTTGTTCTTCTGGTGAAGAGTCCTTTGTTTCCATTCCCCAATCCCATCACACTTTCTTCTTCATGCTTTTGCTTATTTCCTTCTATGGAAATTAGAGCTCACTACAGTTCTAGACCATTTAACCCTTGGATCCATTGTGTGTTTTCTACTGGATAATGGCTGATGTCAGTATTTTGTGCCATCTTTTGGTTTTTAAATCTAAGTAGACACTTTCCCTTTATTTAACGATGATTCTTTCCATTTTTCCTTTTTTGGATATCTGTAAGAACCAGAGAGCTATTGTTTGTATGTGTCCATAATTTGGAATTCAGTTTTGAAGTAAATATTAACATTTAAGGTGTTTTCTAATTCATATAAGCAAATGTGCCAAATGCAAGAGTAAACCTCCTTTATTCAGTAGTCTGGAAGTTTTATAACGAACCTCACATAGTTAATGGACATTTAAAGCTAAAATACAATGCCTGATTGTGTTGAAGAATTATAACAATACTTACAATCTGTTTCAATAAGCCTCTGAGACCATATCTTAAAATATTTTAAAAAAAACAACAAAATAATTGAATTCAGATTATGGTGAATTATGTAGTTTTTCCTCTTCTCTTTACAAAGAATCAGTTCCCCCAAATACTTCCCCTTTGAACCAGAAAAATGAAAAATGATAGGGTACTGAATAGAAATGTTAGCTTGATGTGTTCAAAGAAGGGATTCTGGGACAGTTAAGCAATGGGCCTGTGAATGTATAGGGATCTTGGATGCTTTGAGTCCTATTTTCCCTTCTACTTCCAAAGTTAAGAAGGATTCCATTTTCAGTTACTAGAGCCCCATCTATCAAAAAGTTCATTTTGTGTTCCTAGTAAATGTGTAGCACGATCACAAATATGTGAACCTCTGTCACCCACTTAAGACCATTAAACATGACAGCTTGGAGGAAACTAAGCAAATGGAGTAAAGGTGACAGTTCACCTTTCCTGCTACAATACTCCATTCATACCACTCCATCCCCATTCTCAACTTCATCCTCTGCCCAATCTGTAGACACTTCTGAGAGAATGAAGACATCCTAGGCCTATAAAGAGCTTAAAGGCCTGATTTTGAAAAACCTAGTCCAACATAATCAACAAGATAGTACCCAAAAGCTAAAAGGTTGTTACCGGTAGAGTGGAACTTTCTCTTTTGCTGCGCTTGCTCTACATGTCTGTAGAATTAGATAAATGGGCCTGTTCATCTTTAAATATGTGCTTCAAATACTGGTTCCTCCCAGTCTGAGTTAGTTTTTTCCAACAAGTATAATAATTTTTAATAGGGAGAAAAGGAAATTTGGAAAAATGCGGTACAAACATATTAGATGAAGCATTAAGGACTGAATGCACTCAGCAAATATACAAAGGAGGCTGGTGACGACTAATGTAACTTTTAAGACTTTTTCTCCTTTCCCATGCACCATAAGTACATATCCATACCATTTGCATATGTATTGCAAACACATGAATAATTTATGGCACAAACCTGCTTTTGCTTAAATGAATTTCTGTGTTCATAACATTTTCATCCATGTACATCACCTCAAGCTTGATAACTTCTAGTCCCATTAAAATCTTAAAGCACTTATACATGCCACTTGTCTCACATTTTCTGTCATTAAAACTTATCATAACTTTTTTTTTCAGTGTCAGTATCATTGATAGGACATGGTTATATTAACTCAGGACTAATTATTTGATAACTCTGAATTTTCTCCTCTCTCCACAGGTCATGGGTTATAGGTGCAATAGCTCTTCTCTGCCTGTTAGGATTGACCTGGGCCTTTGGACTCATGTATATTAATGAAAGCACAGTCATCATGGCGTATCTCTTCACCATTTTCAATTCTCTACAGGGAATGTTTATATTCATTTTCCACTGTGTCCTACAGAAGAAGGTAAGCTACAGTTTTTCAAGATCAAATGGCCGATGTTTCATGATAGTAAAGGATGCAGTCCCTATTCACATATAGCATTCTTTGTTGTTGTTGTTGTTGTTTTAATGAAAGATATTACTCTACTTTCTCAAAAAACAAATGTAACACATTACTTCATTTACTTTTATACTAGGAATGACAACATATATACAAAGTAAAAATATAATAGTTAGAAAGGGTGTTCAGGTTAAAAAAATATTTTGTTATTTGTACAATGCTCAAAAAAGTGTTTTCTTACAGGCTTGTTTGTATATCCATGGGAAGAAAAATGGAAGTTGTGTTTTAGAGAGTAACTTCTCAATGTAAATCATGGAATAGGTTAATTTTCTGATTTTCTGTATTGATAAGGGAATAAAATAAAAAGCCAGTTTTAGTAATTAAATATCTTGTTTCATATTTTTTTAAACCATAAGATTGAATTTCCATTCTGATACTTTTCAACTCTATTAAAAATGTCTCTGTAGGTTTTATTACATGGAGCCTTAGCCAGATTGCCTGGGTTTCAGTCTTAAGACCTCCATTTAAAAAGTTCTCTGATTTTCAGCAAGTTAATTAACCTACTCATATCCAAGTTTTCACATATGTGACATGGAAGTAATGAAAATAATTATGAAATATTTAAAGAAATGGCTTTCAAAATGAAGTGGCAAATATTTTAATGTCAGAAAGTAAGATTAAGACTTTACTTTTGTTTTGGTAAACAGGAAAAATGAAAACTAATTATCTCTGTCTCAAAGATTTCTTTATTCAAGACTAAAAACCAAAGTACTGTCCAAAGCAGACATTAAGATTAATGTCAACTTATTAAGTGGGCAAGAATAAGTCAGAATTTTATTGTTTCAATTTTAGCTGGTAAATGTCTACAATGTTTTCCTATGGTCACAAATACAGTATAGATGAATAACAATCAGTCAGACCCCTAAATTTAGATTACACATATTAGAATGGATGAGTTTTATGCTGATGGAGTCAAATTCACCACAAAGACTGGATACAATTGGATGGATGAAGTCTGTCAAATGATATCCCCAAAATGTCAGTAGCTCAACTCACCATATGTTTATTTTCATTCAGTGACCCAAAAAATGAAATACCCTATAAAGACACAAGCTTGATAAAGGCTTAACCAGTCTCCAGCACATAATGTTGTAGTCATCATGGTTGATAACACCATGCAGATAACCTGGGAATGAAAGAGAATCTTGTGAAAACCATCTGGGTGTGACTTGTATCACTTCTATGCACTTTCCACAAAACAGGACATAAAACAGAAAGTACCAGTTAAACTTCTTGGGGCAGTGGGAAAGACAGTTTAACTTTTAGCTTGTGTACTCAGAAGTAGAGTACCAGGGTATGGCCACCAGATAGTAATTAGCTGCACTTGATGGGTTTGAAGAAGAGGAAGGCAAACTGCAAGGGGAAGGACTGGGTCATTATAAAGGATTGAACTTTATCTCACCCTCCAGAGACAGAGAAGCCCCTGTTGAGGTTCTAGACTTGTGTGGTCTTCATCCTGTGGCAAGCTAGACCAAGCAGCTAGCAGGGAGGCCTTCCTCTACTGCCACCCCAGGATCTCATCTAATCTTAATTACCTCCCAGAGACTCTGCCTCTAATACCATTAACATGTTAATTTGGGGATTAAGTTTCCAACAGATGAACTTTGCAGGGGACAAATTCACACTAATATATTGACTATAAGGACACTTAAAGGATATATTTACTAAGTCATGATTGAGAACATATCTTTATGTTTATAATAAATAATGATAGGTGGCATTTTTATTTAGTGTCAAGAACATGCCTCAGCATCAGCAAATATAAAAATTTTCTTGCAGAAATAGTCAAATATTTTGCTTTGTCATTGAAGAAATATCTTTAAAAGCTTTCTGATTAAATTTCACTAATAAAACTTTGCTCTTAACAATTGCTTATATATTGTGGCTAAATATATGCTATTCACTTTGGAGATTTTATATTTTATAAGGTTACTTGTTGATTGATTGACTCGTAAATAGAAATTAAACCTTTTGAGTAGAAATTTATTTTCCAATATGGATTGTATGGTCTATCAATAATACTTCTGCTGGCTACAATGATCACTGTTGCCTTTTTTATGGATTCAGTTATTCATTACTTTTTTATTTATGTATTCTTACTTGAGAGTATGGAAAAATAGTCTATAAGTAAGGTCTTTTTTTTTTCTGTCCTTGATATTCTAGACATCACACTGAAATCAGCTAGCATTATCCGATGTCATATCATGTGAAGTAGATTAGATACTCTAGGGACATGGCTCAAGTTAATCTTTTTCATTAAGACATATGCTGAACATTTTAAATTATATGAGAGCAAAAGAGAATTAGCACACTGAATCCTGTAGCAATGCAGCTGGCATGGAGGTTGGCATTACCATATATCTAGATTTGCTGGTTCTTTATAAAATCAGTGCAGAATATTCAATCTTCGTTGTAAAATGCAAATAGTTCGCAATGAACTCCTGTGGCTAATCTAGTAGTATTTCTTTGGTAACTGGGAGAAGAATGCGCCTCCAAATTTCTCTCTTCTCTTTTTTCTTCTACTACAATATTTGTTCCAATCAAAAATCACTCTGGATTAAGGAAACACAATCATTGGCTGGGTGCACCAGACAAAGAAAGTGAGATTAAAAGACATTAAAGTTCCTAAAGATGCTTCCAAATTTTAATACAAATTTTCAAACTATTAAATCACATGTATCTTTGATTAAGGATTATTTTAAGGCTTTCTAAATTATAATCAAATTATTGCCACATTATTTTAAGAATAATCAATACCAAGCAGATATTCTATTGATTATTTAATAACCATCCTAATAATATGCTCTTCACTTGTCAATACTGTTAGAACAGAATGCTACCTTCTCTCTTATCTTTTCTCAACTTTATCTTGTAAATACAATAATTCTAAACTTTCTTTTCAGTGCTATCTCATAGCTATCATTGATAAGTCTTATTTGGTTCCCACCACCCATGCCCACCTGGGCATTCTTCATTGATGATTAATTCTACTCTGTTCCTCTGTCCCTGTTCTTTATGTGTGGGTAGGGATTCTGGGTTCATACTAAGCAAGTGTTCTACTTCTAAGCTATGTCCTTACCTTCTACTATTGTACTAAGTAATTTAATTCCTTACTGTGATGAAATAACTGGCAAAAGCAACTTAAAGAAGAAGCATTTATTTTGACTCACAGTTTGAGATGATATAGTACTTCACGGACGTGAGGGCATGATGTATGGTTTGGGGACTCTAAGACACCTGCCATACCAGGTCCTCAGTCAGGAAACAGAGATGTTCATCTATATTTCCTCAATACTTTGATGGATTAAGAATTTATTCCTCAGGGCTGTTTTTTTTAAAAAAGTAACTATATTTATGTGTAATTATTGAGAACAATTTTAGGGAAGTATATTAAAATATTTCAAATTTTTTACTCTAAGTCTTCAAATTTCAACCTTAGAAGAAAAACAAACAGGAAATATAGATATAAATGACATGCTTAGCCTAGTACAGTTCCCTTTCCTGTCTTTAAATATTAAATCATTTTCTTCTCTTTGGTCTCTTGGCTTCTCTACCTCACTCTTTTCAACTTTCTCACTGATTTTTATCTAAAGAACAATAGTTAAAATACTGTTGAACCAATAGGTCATTCTCTAAAGTTAATAAAGCTAAAAACAGCGTCTTGAAAGTTTCAAATACTTGGTCTTTGAATTATGGGGTAATACCACGTGTTACTGATACAGTATGTATATTTACGAAGTTTACAGTAGCATGAAATTTAAGCTTGACAACACAATTTTTACCGTTTTGTACTGGAAATAGATGATCCACAATTTTTGTTTCTGTGGAGTTAGGAAGTAATTATGTTCTTGAAAATAAAAGCTCATATACACGTTATACCTTACTTCTTAGCTGAAATGGATGACGCTCTAATAGAAGTTAACATCTCATTGGCTAGGTACGGAAAGAGTATGGGAAATGCTTGCGCACGCATTGCTGTAGTGGGAAAAGCACGGAGAGTTCGATTGGCTCAGGGAAAACATCTGGTTCTCGAACTCCAGGACGGTACTCCACAGGCTCCCAGGTAAATACAACTGGCTCCTTGAGCTGAAAAAACCTTTCTGTTTGTCGGTTTCTGGTCACCCCATCCCATGTGTTTGCCACATCAAGAGTTTGGTTTTGGTGTGACTGTAAGGAAACATGAGGAACAAAAATTATTTAAAATACAGAATGTGGGTAGGGCTTATAAGACCCCCTTTCCAACTTCAGAGCCATCTCCAGATATGACTATGGAGAAGAGAAAGTCAGTGTTCTTCAAAGATGGGGACTCTCATATGCTGCCATGCTACATTAAATAGTCCAACCCCAATTTGGGTGATGGGCAATACTAATTAGACTCAGGGGATCATAAGGAAAACAAACAGACAAACAACAACAACAGCAACAAGAGGATATGAAGTTGGGAAGGGAGCATTGTGGGAGGCCTATGAGAAGTTGGAATAGAGGACAGATCTAATCAAAATACATTATGTGCATGTGTGGAATTCTCAAAGGAAAAATTAAAGTAAAAATGTGTAGATTGTGAAATGTACAGTCTAAATTCACATAGTTACTATTGACATAAGAATGGCTACAGCAAAAAGAAAGAAATTTGCTACTAGAGCTGAAATTTACACAAAGTTATATTTTATACTTATGATCCACAAACGTCTTAGACATTTGAATGTACCTAATAATTCTGTTACATAACTGTAAAAAGTTACATACTGTAAATGATATGTGGGAATGGAAAGATGGTTTACCTGTTAAGAGCACTGACTGCTTTTCCAGAACACCCCAGGTTTGATTCCTAGCACCTACATGTGGTACACAGTCCTAAGGGATCTAAAACCCTATTCTGGCCCCTGCAGGTACTGTACACATGTGGTATACAGGTATATATGCAACCAAAACAGCCATATAAATGAAGCAAAAATGTAAAACAAAAAATTGCAAAAAATAAAATGACTTGTTGAGGAAAAGAATTATACTTCACACAATGTTATGTGTTTGAAGACTGAATGATCCATGTAAGAACAACACCAAACCATCTTTGGTATCAATGTTCTATGGCATTCCCCCAAGTCCAGTAGGAAACACGGCTAAATTGTCCCTGGCTAAGGACACTTTATAAGCTCTTAGATAAAGTGTTTGCCATTTTCCAAGACCACAGTGTAGGACAGTGTGGGTCATGAGTAAATTTATATTAGGACTGACAGGCTAATCTTTGTGGTTTAATAGCAAATATGATAATGTCTAGATTGTTCTGAGGAAGGCTTAAATTAAGTAGATAAGTACAATTTAAATAAAGAGTTCACTTTTCTTCTTTTATTTTTTGTAATTGTATATGTCAAACCAAGACTGTTGAACATGATGGGCAAACAGTGTATCTCCAATCTACAATTCCAGTAAATGTCTTTATCATTGGATTTATTTATAAAGCTTAATAAATTAAGCTTATACAAGCAATTCTTTTTACATCTTAACAAAATCAATTCCTTTTGCCTATAATAATTTATTTCCAAAGGAAACACATCTTTTTTTTGTTTTGTTTAGTTTTTTGTTGTTTTTGGTTTGGGTTTTGGTTTTTCGAGACAGGGTTTCACTGTGTAGCTTTGGAGCCTGTCCTGGAACTCACTCTATAGACCAGGCTGGCCTCAAGCTCATAAAGATCCACCTGCCTCTGCTTCTTGAGTGCTGGGATCAAAGGCATGTGCCTCCACCACCCAGTCACATCTGGTTATTTTAACCATATCAACTGACTATAGATCCAAAGACCTAGCTAGTGTGGAACTCATAAATCAAAGTTGATCATAAACACTGTCTTCAAACTTAATGGACTTTTATTTTGTAAATGAAGCCATAGGCCTATTATTAGTCTAATATAATCTGCACTAAATTTTGACAGGTACCCTATAACTTTCACAAGGTATCTGACTATCTTAAATGTCTTAATAGCAACAAGTCATAAAACTTAGTCCAACATATTGTGTAATCATCAACACTTCAGATGTAATCTGTTACTTTCACAACTTTCTGAGGTTTCGGTGTAACAAATTAGAGGTTGAAAGATGTGTTCCCTCAGGTGGACAGAGATTCATGAGTTTTGTTTGTTTGTTTGTTTGTTTGTTTTTTTGTTTTGTTTTGTTTTTTGGTTTTTCAAGACAGGGTTTCTCTGTGTAGCTTTGCGCCTTTCCTGGAACTCACTTGGTAGCCCAGGCTGGCCTCGAACTCACAGAGATCCGCCTGGCTCTGCCTCCCGAGTGCTGGGATTAAAGGCGTGCGCCACCACCGCCCGGCTGAGATTCATGAGTTTTGAGTTTTCAGTCTGTGCATCAGACACATGAATATGAATGTAACAAGAAGGGCAAGTCAGGATGATGCTTCAGGCAACATCCTCCTCTTATGAACAGTGACTTTATTCCTACAGAATAACTTCTGCCCCTCCCTCTTTTTGTATTAACAGTTTTAACAGCTTTTAAATTAAAATGGCTGAGAGTCTGCATATGGGCCAGCCTGATGGGACTCAGCCTGCATTTCACATGACTAGCTCATTACGTATCACCCTATGGTTACTTTTATTGACAAATATCACTATGAAAGTATAGTGTTGAAGAATTTCAGTTGAGTTACAACAGACTGATGTGATATTTAGTAATGTCTTTGGAGAATGAAATAAGCAATGTAGTTCAATAAACTTCATGAAACTTCATAAACACTACAGTATGAACCCTAGTCTTACTATTTACTAGCCATGACTTAAAAAAAAATGAGTTTTTCTTATTGTTCTTTTCCTTTTATTTTATAGTGTCTTATTATGTGGTCCACAAATTGAGACCCTATTTCCTCAGCTTTACAAGAGCTAGGATTACAGGATTTAACTTTTCTTTTAGTCAGAACAAAGTTTTAATCTGATTTACTCAGTTTTTCACATGTGTAAATGGTAGCAATAGTAATAGTTTCTTAGGCTGTCATGATTAAGCTAATGCACGCAAAACACTTTGAATAATAAGAGATGTTCAATAAATTGGTAGGTGCTGTGACTTATTACTGTCCCTATTACAGGGTAGAATGTCACATATATTTTAAGTTGTATATTTTCTTCACCTTTCCAGTTTATAATGTAGTTTATATTAGTTTTATACATCATATAATGCTTATTTTTGTTAGGTGTGACAATATGATCCTACATAAGTTATAGGTGCTTACATTCTGTCTGAATAAAACAAATGTCTAGGGGGTGGAGAGATGGCTCAGGAGTTAGGAGTGCTCACCGCTCCTCTGAGTTTGATTCCCAGCACCCACATGGCATCTACGGCCATCTGTAACTCCAGTTCCCAGGTATCTGATTTCCTTTACTGGCCTCCGCAGACACTGCATACATATGGCGCATAGACATTCATGCAAGCAAAACTCCCACAAAATAAAAATTAATCTCAAAAATCCTTTTTAAAGCAAATAAATATGTTTCAATATTAATTGTGACTTTTTATAAGAAAATGTTAATTTTTCACCATTATAAAAGAAAAAAATTGTGCCATAGGAATACAAATATTACATCAGAGAGCCTCTAAAATAATAATTACTATGTATTTTAATTTTGAATTTAGAATAGAGTGCATCCTGTATAATGCAATACATCTTTGAAACTCTCAGGATAAAATGGTTAAAAGATAACTTCCCTTATAGTCTAGAACTTTAATTCTCATGTTGATAGACAAGAATTTATTTACAGACCAAAACTAAAATCAAGTTTCAAAGCTGCTGGAGAAAGAAGTAAAATGGCAATGTCAAGTCCCTAGGTGAACTCACAGATGCAGTCATGGAGAAAGATTTTTTTTTTTAGAGGTTGATACTTATGTCAACATTTAAACAGTATTCTCTATCAGAGAAGGGATTTCAGAAAAGCACAATTCAGGGTGAGAGTAGACCTAGTATGAGACACTTGAGGCCAAGGAAATTGGCAAATTCAGGAATATGAAGGACATCATTAGATAGTTAACAAAGTTCTCGGAGAGGTTGGGAGAACCTGACATTCTGAGGCAATATTGGAGATGAAGCCATAGGAAAGCACAAGAGATCCCAAAGTATTGGTGAGCATGTGCAAATTCAGATTTTGTTTTCATTATTTTGAAAACATGATGGAGTGGCTTAGAAAAAGAAGAGATAAAATATTATCCACATGTAACAAATATTCTATAGGAACTGTAGTTTTGGAGGGCATGACTGGCAAAACAAGAGTCAGAGTCCTCCTCACCTCCAGGTGCCATTTACTTACTCCCTGGTGGTAGTAACTTATCAAAGATTAATAATATGGGAATCAGGCCAACATCAATTTATAGGACTATGCACAGGGAGATTTTATAGTGTGGCACAAGAGAATGCTCTACTCACTTTGATCAACCTGTGATAGTTTTGCTATTTATCTTACATCATTTATTTTATTGTATTTGGATGTATTCCCCTTTCAGTATATAACACTTTAAAAATAAAAGAATGCACGTAATGAATATGAAATTGTGAAGCATATTAAATGAATGAACACCTGTGGATCCAACATTCAGATTGGAAAACAAAGTGCCCCGGATTGGTGTTCCCCACCATGTGACATCTCCCTCAACCATCTGTATGTCTCTCCCCCAATTCTGAATTTTCTTTTTTTTTTTTTTGGTTTTTCGAGACAGGGTTTCTCTGTGTAGCTTTGCGCCTTTTCCTGGAACTCACTTGGTAGCCCAGGCTGGCCTCGAACTCACAGAGATCCACCTGGCTCTGCCTCCCGAGTGCTGGGATTAAAGGCGTGCGCCACCACCGCCCGGCCTGAATTTTCTTATTTCATTGACTGACTCTCACATTCTCTTCTCCTTCAATTTTGTCCTTTATTCTCTCTTTCTGTAAAGTCGCATCTTACTGTATGGATATGGTGTAATTGTTTCCTTCACCTCCGTAGTCTAGGACATGTCCTGTTGTCGTTGATGATGTTGAGTTTTGTTATATATGCATGTGCCCATGTGTCAGCACCCCAGTCTGGGAGAAGTGTGTGCTGTATACCAATATGGCTGACTAATTCTCAATGTATATTCAGACTTATACAATTGCCAGATACTCTAAGACTAACTACTACTATTCAAATATAGTGGGAACACGACCAGCTTGTGAGTTTGGGTTCACATTTAGTAGCTCCAAAGTTTATTATTAAGCCTTTCATCTCTGGAACAGCCTGTGGAAGTATGTCGTTTCCTTCTCAGAAGAGCAGTATTTTTTAATCCCTAATTTAATAAGATGGCAAAACACAATAAAACAGAAAACTTCTCCCCTACACTAAAACTTTCTTTGTGAGTGATCTGCCTGTTGGATATTTGAATTTAGAAATAGAAATCACAATGGAAGACTTTTCAGGTATCTATAGAGCTTCCTACCCTGAAGTGATGAATACAGCTGAGATATCTACTTTTAACACCTCAAAAGAAAAGTCAGGAGGTAGGTAATCCCTGAGATGTCATTGGTTTCCTTGAAAAACTTCTAGAAAATGTACCTTCAGTAGCATTTCAATAGTACTCTGTGTTCTTTTGTTAGTAGACTCTTATGAGAGTCTGAATTTTTAATTTGCTTTACTTTTGAAAAAAGTTTTCTGGAATATACATCTCTGTGTTTAACTTGGTTACACTGGTATAGTACTTTGCCTTTTTCATTGTCCACAGTTTTAATTGGTATGGCATGGGCATTGATGAAAATGCCTAATGACAAGAAAATATCATCACTAATTTTATTTCTGATGTTTTCATGCCACTGCTTTGGAAATGTATAGAAATGTTTCTTTGCTAGATGATAGCAACAGAGACCTCACATAGCTTTGAAAACAAACTTTAAAATGTGTGTGAAAAGTCACATTCTCATGAGTCTGTCTCCTTCTTCCTTCTCAATTCAGAGCCGAATTCGGAGAATGTGGAATGACACTGTCCGGAAGCAGTCAGAGTCATCCTTCATTACTGGAGACATAAACAGCTCTGCATCACTCAACAGAGGTAGTTAGGAATGATGTTTCATAGTTATTGCTTTTCTGAAGAATGTAGGAAGTTCTTAAATGAATTGCTACATATATACATGTTCTGACCCCTGTTCTATGTACTAGAAATACCATAAGGTTTTGAACCTGGTGAGTGCAGCATTATATTTCATTATTAATAGACTTTTTTTTAGTACTGAATTTTCAGGAAATCTTTTCTGAGAGAAATTTTAAAAAATGATAAACTTATTTTCCTAATCATCTGCCACTGTTATAAACTGGTGAGACGTTAGGCCTCGTTGGAAGGAGTGAAAATGGGCAATTATATGACTACATAGTCTCCTAAAGCATCGTAGAGTTCCTATTGTCCCAGGTATAAGTCAGTTTCATCATCTTTGTGGAAGTAAAATAGACTGTCCAATACATAGTTGAGGCAAGATAAGGTAAAATTAACTCTAATCTTAGTATCAAACATACATCCAGACAATCTTGAACATTTAAAGACCTAGCGTGAAAATAATGTTTATAATGTTTTATGAATGGGGAGGGGATGTTCATGTAACATTTGTGGATGAAATGCTCCAAGATCACCATTTAGACTTTGAAATCAAGTTAACAAAATCTGCCTTTTTGTTTGTGAGAATCAATCTATATGTATCTCTCTCTGTTTCTCTATCTCTCTTGAGTTTATATGTGCATGTGAATGTACATGTCAGTATGTGTGTGGTGTGAGACAGAGAAGGAGAGAGAGGAAGAGAGATGGAGGGAGGGAGGGAGGGGAAGAGAGAGGGAAGGAGAGGGGAAGGGAGGGGATAGAGAGAAGAAAAGAGAGATCAGAAATAACTTGGCTGTCATAGAAATGAGTGAATACAATTTAAAGTGGGAATTGGAAAGCACTTACAGTTTTATCTGGGAAACTGTCACTTTTATGAACTAAATTATTCTTGTTACTAACATTTTTGTTCTTGCCTTAACGTCAAACAAATTGATCAGTCTGTTTTAAGCCTCTTTTGTAATGCTACTTAGAAACAGATTATACAGCTACTTTGCTTTATCATTAAGAACTCTGATGTTGGAGCTCCAGATAGCCTCACATAAAAGGTCTTATATTCATAGAGTTACAAATAAAGTGCTAAGATAAATGGTATGCAAGCTGAGTTTGATACCAGCATGCATGGTTTACTCTAACCTTGCTGAGTGATAGGATTTAGATTTATTTGAGTCATTGAGATCGTAACCATAATTAGTGATGACTTTAAATTATCTGTATTACTTTAAGACAAGTAAAAATAGTGAGTGGAAATATTCATCCAAATACAAGAAAAGGTATTGAAATGAAAAAGCTACATTCTTATTTCCTTCATAACCAAATTTTATTCACTAGATTATGCTCATTTAGAAAGTTCCTCTCATGTTTTCTTCATGAAAATTTACAGAAACATCAGTATTTTCTCACTTTCTTCCATAAATCATCACTCACGCCTCAGTGGCCTTGAAATTAATTTGCTGCCTATGTGACCGATGTTCTTTGATGTTAAATAATGGCATCTATAGAGGTTTTGCACTTTGATCCTACAAAGAAAACTAGCTTTATCAATAAGATACTGACAAGGTATCTAGATTCCAGAGATCCCAGCAGCCATGGAAGAGTTTTTGTTTACAAAGATTGAGAAAATAGGATTTGAATGATACACTAGTCTTTTGGCCTATTGTGAGGATGGATACACTGTGTGAATTAATTTTTTTTGTCTAGTGTTGTGGTCAGATTTAATGTAAAGAAACTATGCAATGTAAGTTCAGTAATAAATGCCTTCATGAGCTATTTTTGTAACATTAAGGTCAAACACATTACATAATATCGATTTTTATTTCTTTTCCACTAGTCCCTCAAGTTTCATCAATTTTGACTACAGTGATCTGAGCATGACTGGGCCAATTTGAAATAAATTTAAAGGAAATGAACATATTTTTGTACTGACTGATTTTATATGTTAGTGTGTTCATTACGATTCCCATTCTGAAGATATTTAATGAAGCTGTTAATTTCGGAGTCTAAAGTTCTTATAACAAGATTTAAGTTATTTGGGTAATGACCGAGGGGAAAGGGTGAATATTAGTGTTTTATTTGACATGTGTTCAGGTTGGGATCTTTTTAAGATATATATTCTTCATTTTACTTGCAATATTAGTGGTGCTGGAAGTCACGGGGCTTTTCTTCATTATAAACTGGTGTGACACAAATATCCCAACTGAGGAATGCTTTAGTTTATTCTCATCTGCTTTTTTCTTTGAAATTTTCATACGTGTATACCATGTATCCCAATCGGATCCCTCATTCCCTTCCCATCTCGCTCCAGGACCACCTGTCACATCTTCCTCTAAGTTCATGTCTTCAGATTATTTATTTATTTTTATTATTTTAAGTTTCAGAGTTCAGTTAATGCTGACCATATGCTCATGGGTATGAGATTATCCTTAGGCGTATAGAACAATCTTCAAGTGACCATACTCTTGAGAAGTGGCTCTTCCTCACCTCCATAACCATCAACTGCCAAATAGCATCTAACTAGGAAGAGAGCCTCAGAAGACCCTCCCCAGTTCATCCCATTATTTTTTAAAATCTCACATGATTAGAATACTTTGAAATTTTATTTCTTCATAATATTTCTCTAAAGATAGTCTTTAACCTCCTTCTTTAATCTTGTCTTATTCCCCAGGATCTTATCTTCCCTGCATTCAGGCGTGTGTAACATATTTAGGTATGTGACATCCAAGATTCATATTTCCAAATTGACACGTCAGTCACCTCAACAATATAATGAACCACATCTGTGTACTCTACAGATTATATCCTCTATCATTAAAATAAACATCTTAGATACTACATCTTTGCATCTTCATATATTCTAACCTCCCATTCATTCTCAGGTTCAGCTATAAAATGTAGAAATTCTAATTCCATATCTTAATTAGATATGCACATCTTTTTTTTATTTTAAGAGTACTGACCCTTGGAAACTATAAGCTATGGTTTAAGAATTTTTTATTTTTAATATAGGTTTTCTTTCAAATCATATTACTGCTCATTATATCAGAGGAGTATCATTTTATAATTTGTATGTCTTAACCCATGTTCTTTCAGTCACACCATCTCAGGAAGAAGAGTCTGTCATACAGGACAGAGACACTTTTACTATTTTTTGTTGGTGTTTGGGTTTTGTTAATTTGTCTGTTTTTCCATCTGAGATATTCTTTTCTTAATCACCCTGTTGCATTGTATATATTGACTATATCAGATATCTTTTTAGATTTCCCAGTATAACCAACTTGATTGCTATTTGGACTTTATTCCTAGGTGTTATATAAAACCCTGAAAATGTATTGCTAATTTTCCATGTAAAGTCTTATATAGTCTCTTTGCAAGTCTGCTGTTTGCCCACTGGTCTTTTTAAAAAGGTTCATTTAGGTTTGTACTTCAGCTATCAGAACTCATGATTTTTTTTCCATAAATATTCCCTAAACATTTTAAAAAGTGTTTTTTCTTTCTCTCCCATGTGCTTGGCATAGTGTTGCACACCCAGGCAAATCTGCCCTTCATGCAACCAGAAGCACTACCAAAGTAACATTTCTAATGGCATTATCCCAACTGGAAGAGGGACCTTTAGACAAGCTGTATAGTGAATGCAGAGTTTCAGCTGAGAGTAACTCCAAGAGAAGCCAACTTTTCCTCAAGCTTGCTTGTCAGCTAGAGGGTTTGTTCAATGATTTACTGAAATATTTACTATTTGGTTGGAAGGCTATGGCTGTGCTCTACCCCAGCTCCTCCCAAGACTACATACAAATAAAGCAAAATTTCACTTTACCCCTGCATGCAGGCACTAGTAGGCAGGGAGTGTAGTTATTTGTTTTCACTCATAACTCCTGCTCACTATCTGTGCTTAGGAAATCTCACCTTGAATAATTGTAAGATAATACAATCAACAATAACTGAAACTTGAGTTTAATCCAAAATTTTGGATTAAATAGAAACTGAGATTCTGAAATTAGATTTTATTATGTTTTTTGTTATAACAAGTATTAAAATTACATTTAGTTTACCTTCTATTTAATTAATTGAGTTCAGACATTTTTGTTTACAACCGAGGTTTTCAATCTAGCTCCTCCAATGTGGTGGGTGTCTCAAACCTAACCCCACCTCACAGTAATTTCAAAACTGGAGTTCTTCTGAATTAGAAAAAAAATTTTTTTTCCTTATGGAGAAATGACTTGGTTAGTATCCTAAGCCTTTATTTCTCGCTTACTTTCCTACTTCTGTTTTGTCAACCTACCACACAAGTGAATATGATCTAAATGTTATATATGGAGATTTAAGCAGAAAGGCTATAGTTATTTAAGCCATGTTGAATTGTTTCATGTTCAGATAATGTTCTTTACATGTGTAGCACTTATTTATTGATACAGGTAGATTCTTATTTCAGGGTTCAGAGTTGTATCAATCTGCACGAACATTCTTAAATATTTATTGATACAGGTAGACTCTTATTTCAGGGTTCAGAGTTGTACAAACATTCTCAATACATGTATGTAGTCAGTAAAATTATGGTGGCCTGTGACAGCCCGTTTATGTTCATAGATTTGTAAGAACATAGCTACCAGCCTTTTAAAAGCTGGCCTGACCCGCTAGCAGCATTGCTGGTGAAATGGGGAAAGATTGCCACTGGGGAGACATTTGCAAGTCCTGACTGGATTCTGTTGCCTCACACAGTAGTTCTAAGAATTACACAGTTCAATTCAGTGACTTCTGGCAAAGGGATTCGTCTCTCTGAGTCCATGGAATAAGAATCTAAATGGAATGAAAACTGATTCCTGCCAGTATCCCAAGGAACCAGACATAAAAATTCACTGTTCGCCGGGCGGTGGTGACACACGCCTTTAATCCCAGCACTCGGGAGGCAGAGCCAGGTGGATCTCTGTGAGTTTGAGGCCAGCCTGGGCTACCAAGTGAGTCCCAGGAAAGGC